TTTTGCTGGCAGCAACCTAGCAAAAACAGCGTCTAGTCTGTGTCCTCCCTAGCCATCTCCCTTTCCCTATCTGGTCTCTAGCGAGGATTTTGCTACTCTGTCTCTGATCTTTTGGGCTGCGATTGCAAATGTGGCTACTTTTAGTGTTATATTTTTGTCATAATCTGCTAGTAAGGCACCAATCACGGCAGGTTCTTGCCATGCTGCCCTTTCTTCAAGGAGTGTTCCCAGGAGATTTTTTCTGGGGTCATTATACAAAGGGCAGTGTAATAGATAGTGTGTTAGATCTTCTTTTTCCCCTTCGCCACAAATGCAAAGCCTTTGGGCATGGGGGATCCCTCTGTATCTCCCTTCTAGCCAGTTTGAGGGCATTGTTTGGAAGCGCAGGGCTGTAAAGGCTTTCCTCAACGCTGCTGAGGTTAGGTCTTGAAGATATTGTTGGCAGTATTGGTCACTCTTTAGTCTGGGATACCATATAGAAAAACCTTGCTTTTTACTAATCTCCAAGTTGTCAGCTGCATCCTTCTCAAGGATTTTATCACTAATCGTTTTGTATCTGAAACTAGAGCTGATGTGGTCTAGCCAATGCAATTTTCTGAATCAGCACCCCAAACAGAATCTAAAGTTGACTAAAAATTGATTTGTAACCCTTTTGGTATTAATGTTGGAGAGTGGTCTCTGGTCAAGTAGTCCCTGGTCAAAGTGGTCCCTGGTCAATTTCTCTGAATAATTTGGACAGTGCAGTGCTAGATGGGTCCCATTCAGAGGTCACAATCATTAGATGCAATGAAATTTGATCCTAAATAAGTGTGTCTACAAGGTTGCAGGCTAAGTTATATACATCTACATGCTGCATTTTGAGTATCAAGCAAAAAGTAGGTGCCAGAAATAATATCATATGAAAGCTGACTGGCACAACCTGGGGATCACAACCAGACACAGTGAAGAAATCTGCCCTTGCACTTTTAATAAGACATACCGCATTATCACAGGTTGTCTACGGCCTTCATTACTGAAGAAATTATATTGTTTAGTTAATATTGTACCACCTGATATCCGCCGGGAAATAGCAGCCAATAATGAAAGGACCATGGTAGTGACATCTCCAGCCCATTGTCTGTTCAGATATCAGCCAGGATGCCAATGCCTTAAATCAAGAAATAGCTTCCTAAGATCTACAGAGATCCTCGCAGGAACATCTCAGCAACTGAGAGTCCAAAAGTGGCAGGCAAAAACTTTGAACCTCAATCAATGGCTGATACCTCCTGGGCACACAGAAGACTTGGCAACTTGGAAAGCACTGAACAAACTGCACTCTGGCACCACGAGATGCAGAGCCAACCTTAAGAAATTGGGCTTAAAAGTGGAGTCCACGAAATGCGAGTGAGGAGAAGAGCAAACCACAGACTATCTACTAAAATGCAGTCTGAGTCCTGCCACATGCACAATGGAGGACCTTCTCACAGTGACACTAGAGACACTCCAAGTGGCCAGCTTCTTGTCAATGGACATTTAGTATAATGCCAAGTTTAACTTTGTTCGTGTTTTTTAAAATACATTATAACTGCACCCTCAATTTGCTTCTGACATGATTAAAAATACTTTTATTATTTGGTACATACCTGCTTAATTAACTAGTACATTTATAAAATGTGTATAGGTTAAATATAAGAATGAAGTATTCATGACTCATAAAATCATCCAGGAATTACAATTGCCTATACCAGTATTTTGAGAGATAGCAGAGTTCTTTAAAATTAGATAATGACTTTGGGAATACATTTTATTATTAGCATGTTCAGGTTCAACCTAGGTTGAAATTCTCTGAAAATACCTACTGCAGGCTTTAGAAACATGTAGTTCTAATATCATTTTCTTGAGAGAGAACCAATCATCACCGGCCTTCGTTGTTGCTGGAACATAACATTCCCTGCTCCTTCAGGCTGTTCTGTGCTTCAGAAGGGAATTGACTTCTTGCAAGTAACTATGACTCCATAGCTGGCTGTTGTCTGTTTCACGGAAATGCACGCCAAAATTATTTATTGGCTTAACACTTTGGAAATCAATCTAAAATGTTCTGTTCATGATGAAACAGGCTCACGATCTTTGAGAGGTGAATTTTGAGACTCAGGAGTGAGGAAAAGTATCTAACAATTTATAAAACCTCTTAAGAGAGAATGAAGGATAGTTTTAAAGATGACATACCATGGTTATAAATGGAGGATTTATGTTTGGTTTAGCATCTTATTTGTAGCTTCAAATAAACTGGAGGCTTAAAGGTATCCTATGTAAACTGGAAAACCATCCAATTGGTAGTCCAACCTAGAGTAAACCTGCTCTATTACTAAATGGTAGATCAACAGCTGGATTGAGAACATAATTGTTAAATAGTTTTTAAAAGTAAAGTCACTGGAGACCAGGGTTCATAAAAAGAAAGAGTTGGAAGAGTCCACAAGAGCAATCCAATCCAACTTTCTGCCATGCTGGAAAATACTTAACTATGGAAAACCAGTGGTTGAGCCTGGGTAAGCCATAAACTCTCAGCACCAGGAAACCCAGTGTTAGCTTTACTTTAGGTTTGCCATAAGTCAGAAACAACTTGAAGGCACACAACAACAGTAATACATTACACATATATGGGGCGGCCTCTTGAAAACCACAGTGAGTCCAAAATACTCCTGCAATGTTGTGGCTATGGCTAATAGGGAGCTTACTTCACCAGTGCCAAAACTACTGGATGCTGGTCCATTTCCAAAGAGAACTGTTCATAAATACTTTTTTTCATTTACATATATGCTTCTGTACTCTCATTCCAGCTTTAATCTTCACCATAATGCAAAATGTGTGTTCCTCTGTTGTTAGATTTTTGAAACTGCTTAAAATGGTTTAACAATGTAGGCGTATAATATCTGGGGTGACATCCCAAATGTCAAAGGAAAGATTGACCTTCCACCTCTATGACCTGCAGAAAGTTCCTCAACATTTATTAACCATCAGAGGTCAGAGACTGGGAGGAGTGGGCAGATCAGGGACATGGGGTGGGCAGAACAGGAGAGAGGCCTTGGACTCACAAGGGTGAAAGCCTTCACAGTTCTAGACTGGGCCCCCAATATAAACAGTCTAAACAAGGGGCCATCTTTTAGAGTAACTCTGGACCTGGACTGGTCTTAATAATTTCCATCCCACAGAGAGAGAGAGAGAGAGAGAGAGAAGGAGGTAGCATTGTGAAAGCATTTCTTCTTCTCTTTCATCTTGCCAACCAGATCTCAGAGCACACTAACTCAACGGGCAGTATTATTCTGTCTATAATCAAACTTATTGTTAACTTATTAGTCTGGTTATTCTTGAAAAACCACCCTGGAAGTGGGAGCCTTGGTATAATTTAGCTACTGGCCAGTTAATTATTCTTAGATTAGTATGACCTGGCATTCCTTTCGATGCTACACTTTCAGTTTCCTCCTATCCATATTGCATAATTATAGCAGTTTGAAATTACTTTAACTGCCATTGCTCCATCCTGTGGAATCCTGGGATCTGTAGTTTGTTGGGGCACCAGAACTCTCTGATAGAGAAGTGTAAATATCCCACAACGCTACAAATCCTTGAATTCCACAGCACTGATCCATAGGAGTTAGTGTGGTATCAAATTGTTGCAAACAGTTGGGGTGGTACTTCATCTTTGCCTCTACTATCCTTCCCTCCAATGAGCAGTCAGGCTTTATTTCCTGAATATGGACTGGTTGGATCTTCTCACGGTCCAAGGCACTCTCAGAACTTTCCTTCAACACCACAGCTCAAAAGCATCTATCTTCCTTCGCTCAGCCTTTCCTATAGTCCAGCTCTCACATCCGTAGATGACTATGGGAATATCATTGCTTTAACTATGAAGATCTTGGTTGCCAGTGTGATGTCTCTACTCTTCCTATTTTATCGAGATTGGACATTGCTCTCCTCCCAAGAAGGAAGCATCTCCTGATTTCCTGGCTGCAGTCTGCATCTGCAGTCAGGCCTGTAGCGAGGGGGGGGGGGTTAGGGGTTCAACCCCCCCCGAAATGTTTCAGATTTTTTTTTAAAAAAAACTGGTTTACTCATGAATTTTAACTGGTTAACCAAATCCCCATGCTAAGTCTATGAGATGCAAAAAATTAAGAGTCCCTCCAGAACTGTAAGCACTATGTCAAGCAAATATTGACAATTTATTCACACTGTCATTACTTGCAGCAATAGCCGATGTAGTGAAGCAACCAAGTTGGGTGTATGTGTGTTGAATGCTCTCATTAAGGAGGCCAGACTTGGTGGAGGTGGTTGACAGGGGCGGAGCTGCAGGCTATTGAAGGCTGCTCTGGCCCCTGCTATGCTCTTTGCTTCAGCGTGAGCGAGGAGGCAGGTTTCAACACACACACACCCATGAAATTTTCAACCCGCCCCCCAAAACAATTTTAACCCCTCCCGAATTTTTTTTCTGGCTACGGCCCTGTCTGCAGTAATCTTTGCACTTAGAAATACAAAGTCTGTCACTGCCTCCACGTTTTCTCCCTCTACTTCCCAGTTGTCAATCATTCTTGTTGCCATAATCTTGGTTTTTTTGATGTTTAGCTGCAACCCAGCTTTTGCGCTTTCTTCTTTCACCTTGATTAGAAGGCTCCTCAGCTCCTCCTCACTTTTGGCCATCAGAGTGGTATCATCTGCATATCTAAGGTTATTAATGTTTCTTCCAGTAATTTTCACCCCAGCCTTGCATTTGTCAAGCCCTGCACATGGCATGATGTGTTCTGCATACAAGTTGAATAGGTTGGGTGAGAGTATACAATCCTGCTGGAGGAGGAGGAGGAGGAGAGTGAAAAAAGAGGAGGGAAAGGGGGGCAAAGAAGAAAAGGAGGTCGGGGGAAGAAGAGGAGGAGAGGGAAAAGGAGAAAGTGGGAAAGGAGAGAAGGCGAGGAGAGGAGGGGAGGGAACAGAAGGGGGAGGGGAGGAGGAGGAGGAGAGTGACTGTAGAGGGCAAGCAGGGCCCTCCTCCCTCCCTCCCCGCCCTGCTCTTGGCGAGGCACTGGCCTCCCTTCGTGCGCGGTCCAGCTCGGAGTCGCTCAGCTCCAGAGAGGGACTTCTTGCGAGGAGAAGAGGCGAGAAGGGGAGCGTCGCGCGTTCCCAGGGCCCGTCTCCTTGCTTTCCGTGCTTCCCCTCGAGGCTGGGGGGCCGCGGGCGAGGGCGAGCCACGCGGGGCCGCGGGAGGGCGCCCAGGGGAAGCCCCCCAGCCCTGGCAGGCCCCCCAGGGATGGCGATGGCGGCGGCGGGAGGCATCGCCACGCTGCCCGCTTTGCCCGACGGCGGAGGAGGAGGAGGGGGCGGAGGGGGAGGCGGTGGGAGCGGGAGCGGCGGCCCTTTCCCCCCGGGACACTTCAAGGACCCCAAGCGCCTCTACTGCAAGAACGGGGGCTTCTTCCTCCGGATTAACCCCGACGGCGGAGTGGACGGCGTCCGAGAGAAGAGCGACCCCAACAGTGAGTTGCGACTTCGGGGAAAAAGAGTCCGGGGGAGGCAAGCAAAGCCCCAACATCCCCAATAAGGGCAAACTTGGGCCCTCCCTCCATGTATTTTGTACTTCAATTCCCACAATTCCTAACAACCGGAGGGAACATCTGCCACATGCTAATCTTCAACTTTTTTCCTATAGACAATCATGATAATCATATCTAAGAAATTAGAATGGATCTGGTCTATCCCAGGGATGGGCAAACTTGGGCCCTCCCTCCAGGTGTTTTGGACTTCAACTCCCACTATTCTTGTTAGGAATTGTGGGAGTGAAGTCCAAAACACCTGGAGGGAGGGCCCAAGTTCCATCCCTGCTATCCAATGCCCCTTACTTTTCAAATCCTGCTTTTATATAACAGATTTAAATAAATTTCTAGTTACCCAGAGTTGTCGAAGGCTTTCATGGCCGGAATCACCGGGTTGCTGGGAGTTTTTCGGGCTGTATGGCCATGCTCTAGAAGCATTCTCTCCTGACGTTTCGCCTGCATCTATGGCAGGTATCCTCAGGTTGTGAGGTCTGTTAGAAACTAGGAAAATGGGGTTTATATATCAGTGGGATGTCCAGAGTGGGAGAAAGAACACTTGTCTGTTGGAAGCAAGTGTGAATGTTTCAATTGGCCACCTTGATTAGCATCTAATGCCCTAGTAGTTCAAGGTTAGGCTTCTTACTGCTGGCAGGCTGTTAGGAATTGTGGGAGTTGAAGTCCAAAATACCTGGAAGAAGGGCCCAAGTTTGCCCATGCTTGTGTTAAGGGAACCCAGGCTATTCATTGGCCAGGGCCGCCACCAATTAATTGACCAGGTGCCAATGACCAGGGCCACCACCAATTCTCCTGGTCTCCTTAGGGATGGTTATCTAGAAGTCCCTTCCTTTTCCTTGATACATTAATGTTATGCTTAAACCAATTGTGTCCTCATTATTTAGTCTGTGGTCCACTTTCCTTAAGACATTACTCTCATGCTGGAAACAGTTGCATAACATAGCTTAAGAGAGAGAAAAAAACATTTAGTGTCTTTGGTTTTTGGGCCTGTTCCTGGCATTATTTGGGGCACTGATTCAGAAAACTGCATTGGATTGACCAGGCATGGGCAAACTTGGGGCCTTCAGGTGTTTTGGACTTCAACTCCCACAATTCCTTAGGAATTGATGTGGTCTATCCCAGGGATGGGCAAACTTGGGCCTGTCCAAAACACCTGGAGGGCCCAAGTTTTCCCATCCCTGGGGTAGACCACATCAATTCTAATTTCTTAGACATGGTTATCATGATTTTCTATAGGCAAAAAGTTAACGACTAGCATGTGGCATATGCTCTGTATCTCAAAAACTAGATCTGATAGGGAAAAACTGGCCCCATTTTTTGGAATCAGCAGGTCACATATCCCTAAAATCAGGGCTAACATTTAAGCCACCAAAATGTGTGTTGGTCAGTGTAATAGTTCTTTTATTATTTGGTCATTGTCTTCATGGTCTAGCTTTTGGGAAAACAAAGGGGGGGGGTGTTCCTTTGTATGTCCCACAATTAAGTTTTTTGCTGCTGAAATTCTACCACAATTGTTACATGGAGCGGAAATATGGGGACAGAATAACACAAAGCAGGTGGAATGTGGGTTGCCATGAGTCTTCCGGGCTGTATGGCCATGTCTCAGAAGCATTCTCTCCTGATGTTTCACCCACATCTCAGAGGTTGTGGGGTTTATTGGAAACTAAGGAAGGGTCCATGAGGTCATGAAGAGTAGGAAGTGACTGAACGAATAAATGACAACAAGCAAGGAGGTTTATATATCTGTGGAAGGTCCGGGGTGGGATAAAGAACTCTTGTCTGTTGGAGGCAAGTGTGAATGTTGTAATTAATCACCTTGATTAGCATTGAAAAGTCTTGCAGTTTCAAAGCCTGGCTGGGAGCCCTTTTGGAAGAAAGGGCAGCATGGCAACAATCAGCAGCGGTCTGTGACTTGTTAGCAGATTATTCAAAAAAATAACATTAAAGGTTGCCACATTTGAAGTCGCAGCCTAAAAAATCCAAGCTAAATTAGTAAAGTCCACAGCGGAGGCTAGAAATGGAAATAGATAGTTTGGGACGATACAAATGAGACATTGTTATTGTGTTGTTGAAGTCTTTCATGGCCAGAATCACTGGGTTGCTGTGAGTTTTCTGAGCTGAGCTTTTCTGAGATGTTCCAGAAGCATTCTCTCCTGACGTTTCACCCACATCTATGGCAGGCATCCTCAGAGGTTGAGAGGTATATTGGAAACTAGGGACCCCTCCATACAGTCTTATATCCCAGAATATCAAGGCAGAAAATCCCACATTATCTGAGTGTGGACTCAGATAACCCAGTTCAAAGCAGATATTGTGCCTTGATATTCTGGGATATAGGGCTGTGGGGAAGAGCCCTAAGTAAGTGAGGTTTATATATCTGTGGAATGGCCAAGGTGGGGAAAAGAACTCTTGTCTGCTAGAGGTACGTGTAAATGTTCCACAGATACATAAACGTCACTTACTTAATATCCAGCAGACCCCTCAACTTCTGAGGATGCCTGCCATAGATGTGGGTGAAATGTCAGGAGAGAATGCTTTTGGAACATGGCCATACAGCCCGGAAAACTCACAGCAACCCAGACATTGTTATTGTTACCATGTCACTGCTATTGTAATTTTAAAGAACCAGTATGTAGAGTGGGTCTCATTGGAAAGTGCTTGTTGTAATTTTAAGGGTTGTATGTTGTTTGACCCGCTGGTGGCACAGCGAGTTAAACCACTGAGCTGCTGAACTTCCTGACTGAAAGGTTGGCGGTGCAAATCCAGGGAGTGGTGTGAGCTCCTACTGTTAGCCCCAGCTTCTGCCAACCTAGCAGTTTGAAAACATGCAAATGTTAGTAGATCAATAGGTACCTCTTCAGCGGGAAGGTAACAGTGCTTAATGCCGTCATGCTGGCCACATGCCTTTAGAGGTGTCTATGGACAACACCGACTCTGGCATTGAAATGGAGATGAGCATCACCCCCCACAGACGGACACGACTAGATAAACCTTTACTTTTACTTATGTTGTTTGATGTCATGACTTATGGCTGGTATAATAAATAGTTCATTCTTTCATTGTCTTCAATGAAACATAGCTACATTGTGTTAGTTGGTGGCATCTTAGTATTTACCACATTCTGTTGTTTTGTATGCAAGTATGAAAGATTCGCAATGACCTGTTTGCTTTTAGCAAGTGTGCCAGATTCCTCCTGCACTGCCTGCTTTGATTCCCCTCCCTGGCTTCCAAAAGAGTCCTGGGGCCCCAGTGGAGTTGAGGAGCCTCCTGAACCCCAGACCAGTGTTCCAGATTCACTTCTCATATTATCTTTGGCTGTCCTGACATGGCTTTCATGATGGAAGATGTACCAATATAATTTCTACAACAAGAACCTATCTGAATTACAGTCACTTCCAGCATTGGTGTACAGCCAGCTAACCACTTTAGCCTCTCATAAACCAAACTGGCCTGTTCCTTAGAAGCACCAGCTTTCCACTTTGCTGTCTGTATAAACGGATGCCATCGCCAGTGGGAACAATTGCCAAATGTGTCAGCATTCCCCTTGCTCTCCATTTCAGAAAGCGCAAGGGGCTGTGGCTCTACCTCTAAATAACATCTGGGATCTTGGCTCTTTTCAGAATGTAAAGACCAAGCAGATGTGTCTTCTGAAGGCAGGTTTCTCCCGTTTTTCACCCCTAACAAGCTGCCTGCTCATGGATGTGGTAGGAGGCTCCCTCAGGGGTCAGTTTAGTTGTCTTCGGTGCATGGATATTGGCATGGAAAGGGACATCTTGTCATTTGGTAAGAGAAAATGTTTGGATCCATCCCTCTTCATGGGCTCCATCTGGTAGTGAAGTGGCAATAGCACTACAATCTTTTAAAAGATCTACAAGACTCTTGTTTTGATCTTGTTGCAACAGTTGTGTACTTGTTAACTCCAAAGTGAGTGGTGCTTCTTCAGAGTGGCTTAGTTCCAGATAAATGCACATCACTAGAAGCTGTTCCTAGTATCCATTATTCTGATTAGGTGATGCAGCGGGTTAAAGTGCTGAGCTGCTGAACTTGCTGACCAAAATATTGGCGGTTTGAATCTGGGAAGCGGAGTGAGCTCCTGCTGTTAGCCCCAGCTTCTGCCTAGCAGTTCGAAAACATGCAAATATAAGTAGATCAATAGGTACCGCTCTGGCGGGAAGCTAATGGCTCTCCATGCAGTTATGTCGGCCATATGACCTTGGAGACATCTATGGGCATCTATGACTTAGAAATGGAGATGAGCACAACTCCCCAGAGTCAGACACAACTAGACTTCTTGTCAAGGGGAAACCTTTACCTTTACTATATTCCTCCACTTGTAACGTTCACCATTCCCACTATTCCCTGTAAATATCTATACAGCTTAAGTGTTCATATTATGGTGGATAATAATAATAATCATCATAATCATCTTTATTTTTTACCCCGCCACCATCTCCCATAGGGACTTTGGGTTACGCACACCATCGTACACAAAGGTGCCATACAATACATAAAATAAAATACATCAACATATAAAATCAATAACGCATTACATAAATCAAATATATAAATTGAATAGCAACAACCTCTATTAAAATAGAATCAGTAAAATATGGTTATCACTGTTGATTAAAAGATCCATACAATCAATGTATCAGCCCAGCTGTATGCCCATAGACTGTAGATATAAAGTACGAAGTAATTGGCAATCGGTTCTGGCTACTATCTAAACATTATCAAAGGCCTGCTGAAAAAACAAAGTTTTTAACTCTTTCCAAAAGTACTATAATGTGAGGACATGTCTGATAGCTATCCTCATTACAATCATTATAATGTTGTTTCCTTGGACATTAGCATTGTCTCTTATATTGTTGTTTAACATAATTCATTATCCATATTCATCAGTTTGACTCAGTCAGTCAGTCTGTCAG